GTAAAATGCATATATGTCAAAGCCTACCTTGAATATGTGTTTGAGGATTAAATGAGATCATGCTTAGTAAAAAGCCTTGTCACTACCAGGAACACAACAGGCACACAAAAATGGCCCTCATTATATCCTTCTTAGGATATAATGACTAATTATCCTATTTAGACAATCAGATTTTATAGATCTTCACTTTAGAATATTACATTAATGACTAATTTTTGACACCACAGTCTTCACAAATTCCAAAGTGTTGTGAGTTTTGTTAGCCAGAATATCAATCATGACACAACTCTGGAGATTGGGGCAAGAAAACTCCTAAATTCTGTTTCTGAAATATTTTGATAATGACAACATCCTGAAAATTCCATTTCCACTAAGATTAAGAGAGCTAGAACTGTTAAAGTAGAGGTGACTATCAGGACTGATATACTAGGAAATTGTCAGGTAATTAACAGGCTAAATGCATAGCTCCCAAACATAACCACTACTTCTCTTGCATATTGACTACATGTAGTAGTTTTTAAAAAGAATATTTTCAGTTTTATGAAATGAAAAAAAAGTTTCTAGTCAGACAGACATGAGTTTAAAGCCAAACTTTATGACTTCTCAATTTCTTCAGTTTATGCTTTTGAAAAAACAAGGATAATAATACCTCAAACAATGTGAAGTGTGATTGAGTGGGTTAAATACATATAACATAGCTTTGCATAAGACCAACCGATACATCATGAAGTGTCCATAAATAAAATAAACAATAGTTTATGTTCTTGGAAATGAACTGGATTTAATAAGAAAGATTGTGGGGCCATATGAAGAGGAAGTGTTAGACCAGAAGGCAGTATGGCTGCCACGTTCATGTAATCTTTACATTCCTACTTTAGTTCCAAGTGCACTGCAAACTGTCACTCTGGGAAGCATTTTTCAAACTCTGTTAAGATTTTGCTTCCAGGTGTGTCCCCTGCTTGGCTCAAATAAACTCTAATAAACTCTTATAAATTTTTTCTACAGACTTGGACATTCTTATGTCAACATATTGAGTTTTTGCTCTCAGCAATAGTGGGGGAGACAAGCCTCCAAGAAAGAACATGCTAAATGAAATAATTTAAAAAAATATATCTGAAGATATCAGAGAGTTACCAAGGAAATGAAGGCTTTGGGACTCAAGAACCGAGAGAAGAAAGACTCAGCAAAGCAAACCTAACATCTGATGCCTCTGCTTTCCGTTGAAAGGCATTTGCTGATTCTAAATCAGCAGCTGACAGGATGAGAAGCTGAACAAGGCTTCTGGCCTTCTCACAGGGTGGAGGGAACAGAAGTTGGCATTTAGGGTCTGTCAGGGAAGGGAGGCCCTAGCAAAGTTCCCTGGCTTAATTTGGGACCCTTAAAGAGCAAAACTCTGTAAGTGTTGACAAGAAACAGATCCACCTTCAGGAAGCCCAGCTTTGCATCAGCCCAATACCTGATTGGATTAAAATGATTTGTTCCCACTTTAACTGCCTGACAGAACAACAAATCTGCTCTTTTGGAAGGTAACAACATTTAAAGGCACAAATTCTAGAACTTTTATATATAATGTTTGACACCTCAACAGCATAATCAAGCAAGCATAGATACAGGAAGAAAGTAGAAAAAACAAGGCAATTAAAAAAATCCAACAAGACAATTTAAAAATCTACAAGATATTCTGATACTGGAGTTAGAAAAAAAAAATCAGGGACAAAATTTTGTTTGAAATTTTAATTAGATCATAAAGATAATGCTAAATTAGTTGCCATAAAGTACAACCATTTTCTAAAACAAAATAAAACTGAAAAATTTACTCTAAAAGCAAACAACTTCATGCCTTGTCCACTTAAAAAGTTCAGTAAATTTCCAAGAGTTGTGACAAGATTGAGTAGGATGGAATAGAAAATCTCTGGAGCTTTCTTTTTCACATATCATAATTTTGTAGAGGTATTTGGGGAGGGGGGACTTTCTTGAACACACACAAAAAAATCATTGATTTTTATTCCAAAACTTTTAATCAATTGTCCCATGCAATTTACTATTTATATTCTACATAAAATGGCATGTTCCACTTGGAGTTTTACCATGTTTAGTTTTTTTGGAAGCACCATAGAATAGATCTTTTGTTAATAAAATACAACCATTTTGACCATAATGTACTAATATGATTATCTTTTCATCAATTGCTCCATTATTTCATTTATCAGATACTATTAAGGTCATCATTAGACTATGAGTGAATTTTTATCATCACAATTAAATAAATTTGGTTTTGACCTAAGTACAGGAAAAAGAAAGTATATTAAGATTTTTAACTCTCAAAAAAGAAAGCAATACATGGATAATAATGCAGGATATATTCTCAGTTTGATATAATTTTAAAGATAACTGTAAAATTAAGTAACAATAGAGAAACAAAGCTCATCTCATATATGGCAACAGATATGTAGACAACAGCATTGTGGGTGGGGGTAAGTCTATTGTCTAAGACTATTAAGAGTTTATAGAATGGTTGAGTGCTTTACTGGCTGTCTGCCATTCTTTGGCTGTCTTCCTTTAAATCTGAATATTTCATCCATTTTCTTTGTAAATAACATTCATCAACTGCATTTATTGAGTTGTCGGAAAAGTCATGACATATTTTTTCTATGTTTTTCGTTGCAAAATGTGTCATGACTTTTCCGACAACCCAATAGTTTTTCATTTTTATCTAGAGCTGAATTAACTTCATCCCATCAAAATCATCTAGACTACAAAATGAGAGAACCAGGAAGTCTTTCATGAAAGAAAGGTTGGGAAAAAAGGAAGAGATTCTTAATTCCAAAATAACGCAAACAAATAAAGGTAGGTGGATAAATAGTAAATGCTATTGGTAGATAATAGCTTCGGTGTGACATTCCTGTCCTGCAATTATTTACAATTAAAGAACATGAGATTTCTCTGTGATAGACCATAATTAGCCGAGACATATGTAAGTTCTCCTTTGAGAAACCTCATGGCTACAAAGCCAGCATGATCTAAGTATAAATTGACTCCAAATGTACCTAAAGAAGAAATATGTTCATGAAAGAGTCAGCTAAGAGGTGTTGAAAAAGGAGCCACTTTCGACAAATGTTGGCAACATTCAAATAAGCTAGTCTAGGAGAATCTTGACTAACACATGGGAACATGATGGTTTTAGAACAAGACTGT